CTTGACCTGCGTTTTATGAATATTCATCAGCTCTGTAGAAATAAAGCCAAAAAGTAAAACTGTCTTCCACTTATCGTGTTAACGATGAAAGTGCACGGCGACGGCGACATCGACGGCGACAGGGACGGCGACGGCGACGACAGACGCAGGTGATGGCAATATGTACAGACACATCTGTGTCTGTACATAAAAACTAAACCTCAGTTTTTGTAAACAACTTTTATCATCAAGCCATGCAGTAAGAGGAGAGACTGGACGAAATCCTGCTCATATAAAGATTAAAATACAATTAATAAAATTTTGGCTTAAAATATAACACTTGGATGATAACAACCTACTTTTACAAGCATACCTATAGATGAATTACAATATTACAAATTACTCTCAACAAAAAGCTTGTCAAATCTGAAAGATGATAACTTCTCATGGAGTGAAGGTATCATAAAACTGCTATTCGAAACAGATTTGGAGATGTATGGTTAAAACAGAATCCTCACATAAAATTCCTTAGCACATTAAAAAAACACATCATCAGTGGCTTCGTACAAAACTTCCACAGTTAACTTGAGGGCAAATCTAAATCCAGCACCTATTGCCAATTCAAAAATACATTTAAAAAAGGAAAAATATCTGGACGTTGTTCAAGATGATGAAAAAAGAAAAAGCCTTAGTTGTTTTCGCACCAGTGGGCTTAAACTCCACATTGAAACAGGCAGATCCACTAACACCACTCCTGATGCACAAACACATCTACATTGCTTCTTAAATTTGATATACTCAGGAAATACTGTAGCATCATATCCAAACTGCTAACAATAACAAAACAATATCATAAAATAATCCAGTCATGCTGTTTTTCTAGAGGAATTTAAAACAAAAAAAAAAAAAAGTTTATCAGGTAAACAACAGCTGTGTCACAAAGTGCTGACTATGGCAATGACACTGGACAGACACAGTGATCAGAATATAGACAGACTGAATGTGTCTGTATATAATAAATATGTGATAAAATTTGCAATTATACATTAATGAACTTGCAATAACAGTGATCATCTATAACACATCATATCTGACCTGAAATATATATTCACATTTAAACATTTTCACTGGTGCCCTTTTCTCTTCAGTGACGGCTTATTGTCTACCATAATACCGCTGTATATGGGCGTATTCCCAGAGCTTTTAGATTGATCTATCCCCGCGGGGAGTCTCACTAGATTACTGTCAGATAATCTGGCTTAAATGTCCGTCCCGCTTACTACAAGCTGTAAGGGGGTAATTAACTTTCATGTGCGCTCGGCTGACAGCTATTTAGCGTGAACCCCTAAAGTAGATCGATCTAATCTCTGGAAATGGGGTCAATGTTACCTCTACTAGTACTGTAACAGTTTCTATGCATATGGGGGAAATTATTATAACACATCACAACTGAGCTGAAATATCAATTCACTTTTAAACATTTCCATTGTGTCTATTCATCTTCAGTGATAGAGTATTGTCCAACACAATCTCCTTGCTTTATACACCCTGCCTCTAAAGTTTCCATGCATATGGGGGAAATTGTTCTTTGTGTTACCTGGAACCCACATTTGTTGTGTAATTGTACTGTTCCATATAACTGGCTCCACAGGATCTGCTGTGTTTGGAAGTCTTGTTCTGGGTGGTTCTGGCAGCACTCTCTCTCACTCAGTATAAAATTGACCTCTTGGTCTGCCAGCAGCTCTTCATACAATTCCAGAACTGTATTTCCTAAAAATATAGATGAAATGAGTGAAATAGAAAATATGAAAACTGCAAAAACACCTGGCCCGATAGGAATATAAACATAAATAAAATAGATGCACACAAAAGAAAAAAAAATCAAAAATAACATGATGAGTGACACCTAAACAAAATAGGTAACAACTGTAGTTGCGTAACACAACAATTATAAATGTATTGATAAGAACACGTGAAAAAAGGGGGGGGGGAATGAAAACAAATACTAGCCTGTGTGTGATCCAAAACTGGAAGTCATCCCGTAAAAGGAAACAGCCATCGCCGAAACTTGAATATCAAGTACTGGTGACTGGAGAAAAGTGAATATTGTCCAAATAAAATAAAGTCACCAAGTAACAAATAACCGTCAACAGCCGTCGCTGAATCTTGAATACCAAAACTGGTGGCTGGGGAAAACTGAATAATCCGAAGAAAATGGTCACCAAGTAACAAATAGTCGTCCCCAAATCTTGAAACCACAAAAGTGATGACTGGTAACCAGTGTACAAAAAACAATAAAGAAACGGAAGTAATAATACAGTGTAGCTGCTAAAACTGCGGGTAAATATATCCGCAGCTACAAAGCTGAATGACTTCTAACTGAATGCAGCTCGATGGAATTAATCTCCAAAACATCTTTCATAGAATATACTTGTGTGTGCCTTGATACACAGCAGCTAAGACAATCCTTAACCCTGGACATCTGTTAACACCTTGTCTTGGTCAACTACTTAAGGTCAAAGTGTGCAGACACAAGACCCAAACAAAACGTTGATGTATTACCAAAAAGTTAATAGCACCACTAAAACAAACCATTTGCTACATAAATACAATTAATTCTCTTAATTGTAGTTTTTTGTATCACAATGCTTGATATATATATCTTGATATTGCTCATATGTAATGTGATCAAATTAAAATATAAGTTTTCATTTTATGTGTTTTTTGCACTTAATGACAATAAAACTTAAATTCACACTACAATTAAAACAGTAATATATTAATTTTATTCATAATAATCCATGCTTTCTATATTGAAATAATCATTGGTGTTTGTGTCTCTGCACAAAGAAAAGAGGAGAAACAAATTACCTATCTTTATTTGCATAACAAAACAATCACAAACATTTGTCTGCTATCTGCAAGAGGTCCAGTTACCTGTTTACAATGGCTGTCCTGTCTCTGGCTGTTCATTCATCCTAAAACTTGCCACATCCCGTGTCTTGCACAACTGGGTGAGATGAAGATGTTTCTGTTGCTGCTTTTTTATGTCTGCTTCTTATAAAATACATGTCCCCCATGTTCAGCCAGGTAAAGTCAGTTCACCTATAAGACACCATGTTGTATGGAGACTGGAGCTGGAAAAAGAGACATGACAATGTATAAGTGAAGGAACACAAATTATCTTAATACAAAGAAAAGACAAAAAAGCTGACAGTCCACCAGAGCCAGTTGGGAAAAATATTAAAACTATGGTACACTGCCAAGTGCCCACTTTATATGGTAGACATCATTGTTGTGGTGACTGAACTGTGATAAGTTAAAAATAACCTTGTCTTTTCCTTTGGCCACTACATATGAAGAGTAAAATCCTTTTAGAGGCTGCTGGACACAATTGTGACTGCCAAGACCAGCACATTCTCAGATTGAACACAGTTAAATAAACAGAACTCTGCCATATCTGATTGAATTTTTGTGAAATTTGCACACAAAATGCCAAACAATTGTAAAAATCTGGAATAATGATATCAATTGGCTGTGATTAATTGAAAGACAATTTCTGAGGAGTAATTTAAGAGAAGTCACTAAGGAAATTACTAATAAAAATTCTAAATCATGACAAAATTACTTTAACTTAAAGGAAACAAAAATATGATAACTGGTTCCTTTCTCTACAGAGGAAGATTAAAAGACCAATCACATATTGTCACATGACTTGTAAAACAATATCCACCATTAGTTTAGTGTACAACCTGCAAGCAGTCCAGTTACTGTCATGACAATGGGTCATCCCAGGGAAGTAATGACCACTGCTCCACTTGGGTCCAATGCATTTCATCCCAAACTGACCACATCAAGCAGGCCACTACAGAGACACTTCACTATGTACAACAACTGTCAAACCATGTGTGTGAGAGCTAGAAAAAAGATAAACATTCATTAAACAAGGCATTCAACAACTTGACCATTGATGATCAGAAGCAAATAAAATCAATTAAGTACTTCGACCAACAAAGGAACATGTCCTTCAGCCACTATATATATGAAGAGTAAAATGCAATATTTTAATGGAAATATTAATTTTTTAGATGTTTTGTGCATGTAAAATTAATGGTTTAAAATAAAGAAATGCATTGTTAACAAATGAGAGATATGGATCAAAAATGGCATTTGTGACTATAAAGCTGCAATGTACCTTACTATTTAAAGTAGTTTGTTTTAAATAAACAAAAGTGGACAATTATAATAATTCATATTTTTAAAAGTCATATTGGTCATGAAATCCCAAAACCTGGGATAACTGGTGCTTTTGTCTCTTCAGAGGAAAGAAAGAAGACCAATTATACTCACTGTTACTTGAAAAACAAAATCAACTGTTAATTATGTGTACTACCTGCAAGAAGTCCAGTTCCCTGTTTACCATGGCTGTCCTGTCTCTGGCTCTTCACAACCCATTCATCCTGAAACTTGCTGTGTCTTGCACAACTGTGTGAGATGAAGGGATGTTCCTGTAGCTGCCGTTTCCTGTCTATTTCATATTAACAATACATGTCCCTCATGTTCAGCCAGGTAAAGTCAGTTCACCTAGAAGACACCATGCTGTATGGAGACTGGAGCTGGAAAAAGAGACAAAAGATTATATTAATGAAGTGACATAAATTATCTTAATAAAAAGACAGAACCCTGACAGTCCACAAGAGCCAGCAGAATATTAAACCTACAATATACTGCCAAATGTCCACCTAATATGGCAGACATCAAGTTATGGTGACTGGACAGAGACAAGTTTAAAATGTATTTTAGAGGCTGCTGGGCACAATTATGACTGGTACAACTGTCACAATCTTTAACTGATCAAAGTTAAATAAACATAACTCTGCCAAATCTGGGATTTTTCAGAAATTTGCACACAAATTGCCTATAAACAATGGCTGTAATAATCTGGGATAAGTATATCAGTTGAATGTGCCTTGTAGAAGTACATTTTGTAAAGAGTAACATAAGAAAAGTGAAAAAAATTATTTAAATTTAAAGGAATCACAAAATATGATAACTGGTTTGTTGATCTACAATGGAAGGATAGAAGACAAATTATCTATTGTAAGATGACTTGTAAAACAAAACCAAGCAATAATTTTGTGCACTACCTCCAAGGAGGTGTTTTTGGCATGGTGATGGGTGATGGTGGGTAATGACCACTGCTCCACCTTGGGTCCAATACATATCATCCCAAACTGACCATATCAAGCAGGCCACTACAGAGAAACATGACACTGTACAACAGCTGTCAAACTGTGTGTGAACTAGAAAAAAAGAAAAACATTCATTATAAACATTCAACCACTAATGATCAGAAGCTAAAAAATATCAGAATACACAGATGGGGAAAGGTAGCAGACTTTCACTTTACTGTATCTGCCAGAAGATACTCTGTTATCAGACAAGGCCTTCCCAGGCCACGACCTAATCACCCAGTTTAATGCGAGCGTGCATTGCAATTTGGGTTATATTCAAATAGAAGGGTGCGACATACCTGTGCAACAAATCGAGTTGCGTGCAGAAGACATAAAGATAGCTCAGGTTAGCGAATCAAGAAATGTGGTAGTACCCCTAAATTCAGCACTTAGGATAACGAGCGAGATTGACGAAAAGTTGGAAAAATACGTCGTTGAAGGTAAAGAAGAAGAGGGACTACTAATACCGAGAACTGTCTTGTCTGAAAACTCAAAACCACAAAAAGTAAACAACCTCTGAAGGTGGGTGGAAGTGCTCAGGGCCCTTTAAGTGCCCCATCTGCCGGCAAGGGGTTAGTTGAAGAAAAAATTAACACCGAAATTTTCAAGTCACCTGTAAAGGGGTCACTTCTGGTGCGGAATTTTCAACAAATCGCTGGTGAAGTTCACACCGGACTAGATTCTTCTGGATGCGTCCCTAGCAAAACATCAGAAATTCCTGATCATGTAAAAGTAGTTTATGAAATATCTAAGGGGAATTTAAACAAAATTCAGAGGGAAAAATTAAAGAATATTCTATCTGAATTTCAGATAGAACCCTGGCTGCCTTTGGTCTTCCATACTCTGGCAAGTTAGAGGGTCTTAAGGGTTTGCTTCCTGTTTGCTCTGTGAAAGAGGTAGAGTTGGTGGGGACTGTAGCTATTTACTGTGATCCCAAGACATATTCCACTAACGGGTATCTTTCCACTTTGTCTGGGGGCGAGTATGTAGCTATTGGTTTTCACCCTAGGCTGGCCGGCAAGCTTACTCAGGGCAATCTGGACCAAGAAATTAAGACTTTCTCAGAGTTGGTTAAGTAACAGCTTTTGGCGAGGTAGGTTTCGACCACACTGAAGCCATGTCTTAATAGCAGGATCAGGTTGAGTTGCTCCACAGACTGCTGCCTTTTCTAGAGGCCAGGCATGTCCTGGTTGTGCACTGTAGGGGAGTGAGGGGAGATTCTGGAGTTCTCCATAAGGGCACTTTTGTTTCACCTGAAACTGTGTGGCGTTACGCAGTCCCAGAGGATTCATTTTCACTCCTTTACAGGCACATAGTAGCTTAATGAAATTTGGGGAAAGCAGCAACCAAACACCTTTTTTGGTTTTACTCGTGTTGCTGCCACCTTTAATAAAAACCAACTAGCAGCACTTAGGAGGTACCTGACTCTAAGCTTCTTTTGGAGTCTGATGCTCCCTATTTCGTTAGTAAAAAAGGAACCCTTTCTACACTCTATACAATCTATGAAACGATAGATGTTCTAGAGGGGCACAGAGGGGTGGATGTAGCTCACATTTTAAAAGTCACAACTAAAAATGGTACTTCTTTATATAAAAGGGAGTAACCATGCAGGGATCTGGAAAAATATATATATACATGATGGAACTTCTTTAACTTTGGGCAATTCTAAAAAACTATGAAAACTATAACTTCTTGGTACTGAATTTAAAAAGAAAAATTAAAATTTCCCTCAAGCCCCTCTCCTCCACCTGATCCAGGAGTTCATAGTAGATATGAGTTACAATCAGCATTTACGATAATTATCTATTTATTTAATTATCATTATTTAATTATTTATATACTATTTTACAGATACACTGATGCACAACAGCACTATGGCACCTGCCGCACTTACATATATTGCTTGTCATGCAATGTACACATATGTGTATTTCAATACAAATAGCACTTACTGCATCATTGTGCATTCCTATTGCTACTTAATAATTTCGTGACCATGCATTTGCCTACCTTCACCCGGTGTGCTCTCCCTGCACGGAGACTGCGCAGTTATGGTAAGTACTGCACACACCAGGTGGAGAGCCCAACTTCCCCACCTGATCCCAGTGAGTACAACTCATAACACTAATGTGCAGACGTGTACAGTACCAAAGACGAAAATATTCAGAACTGAGACACAATACACAGTGATATACAATCTCACTCCATAAGTATAACCAGTGAATACTTTAATTATTAGTAACTCTGCTAGTACTTTTCTGTTTTACCTCAGATGTTTCCAGGAATCCAGCTCTACTGTATACGTGTAACACCGGATCCCTTTGTCTATCCTCTAGCTCTTCTCTCTGCAGCAGCTTCTCTCTCTCTCTCTCTCTCTCTCTCTCTCAAAAACCCCGCCCAACTGTCGCTTTCAATCCCAAGACTTCCGGTACCAGATCACAACAAATTTACTCACCTTTCTGTCATCAAGAGTGTCTTTGCATGCATTAAAAAGGATGACAGAATCGAGGAATGTTCTACTGCTTCAGATCAAACTTTTATGGTGACTCGTAAATATATCTTGTGCTAGTTATAACGTTATTTCATAACGTGTAAAATGTTCCCGCTCCGCCGAACTAACCTCTAGTAAGTAGGTCAAATCATAGAAGTAGAGAAAACTCTATGGTCAAATGAAACCCGCAGTGAATACTGGGTCACATCTCGGCACATCCGGTCACATGAAGCGTACCGCAGTTTTACTCTGAGTCCAAGTTAAAAATATCTTTTGATTTTTCCTTTAGATATGATATTATTGATTGAGAATATATTTTGACAAAAAGGTATTTTTTTTATTGTTATTATGTATTTTCTTTTTGCTTCACCTTTTGTTGGATCTCAGCACTGCTAACACAACGCTCAATTTTAGCAAATGGAGCATTTAAAAAGGGATAATAACTCTTTGTTTCGGCCAAAAAATGAATTTTTCTGGAGTAAACAACAATTTTCCCATACTCACCAATGGTTAGTGAATCCATTTTTACATTCAAAGTTAGTCCCTGTTTTTTTCTAAAAAGTTTGGTTTTTTGTTAAAATCTCTTAAGAGAGCACATGGTCTAAAGACAAGCTCAGATATCAGAATAATAGCTATAACTGCCGTTTTTGTGGTTAAACAGAATATATTATATTTCCATGAGTTATTCACAATGTTTTTATTGTGAAATATAGATCTCATACGAAGAGTTATTGTCCCTTTAAGGACCTTCACATTTAGAGTAATCACCATTAGTATAATAAACCAAGGTGTTATAAATCCTTGAATAAACAAACTTGAAATATTCTAAAGTTAATTTTTGCATAAATATCCTGCAAAGCAACTAGTAGGCCTACCTGTAGGCTACTTTACTTTTATAGACTGCGCTAGAGGCTGCGCTACATGTAGTAGGCTTTATATTAGATGCGCATTAATTTTTTTTCAAAAAGTCTAAATTTTTTTCCTCAATTCCAAGTATATTTACTCAATGCCTGGTAACGAAGGTTTTGCAAATGGCTTTCTAATAGAATGCAGCTTTGTCATGTTTCGTGTAAAACATTTGACTGTGCCCTATTAACAGCTAATCATGAGGGCCCGCTGGGAAAGGAAGAGGGGGGGGGGTTGATCACAGTTCACGGCCACCGGAAATAAAATAATCAAATCACAAATCACATAACTTAATTAAAGATTTTATTCATATCTCATTGAAAATGCTAGTCTGGCGAGCTGAAAATAACTATCATCGACTATAATGACTTCGTTGTACCAGGGAATTATATCCGATATAATTCCCTGGTTTTACTAAGGACGAGGGATAGAAACCCGCAATTCACGATTCACAGGAATGGGGTGCTTCACATCTCGGAGAATGATAAGTGGCTGTTACGGGTAAGGAAAATACCCAACGGGGCCTTCAGTCCTTGTCTTAACTAAAATGAATATTTAATTAATTTCTAAAATATTTCAAAACATTAAAGCAACTAAAATTAATGATTTAGAGCAAAAATATATACCACGAAGGATTTTTCAGCTTTAAAAAGATACCTGATAGGACGAAGTGAACACTGCAAAAATCCCCACAAATAACGTTTTAGGACAAGTTATTTATTGTGTTATTTAAGATAAACATACTATACATTTTCTGACGTTAGACATTAGGCCTATACTTGCTTCCAAACAAGTACCTTATTTTTCTACTTTATTGGAAATAAACTTTAAGGCAAATTTGAGATGGTGTTGCAAGCGACAGTAACGAAGGTCTAAGAATGAGTCTGCATTTCGTGTTTTAAATATGATTAGCACAGGTGCTGAGCTAACTTATGCAACGATTTTCGTGTGCATTGAAAGACTCACCAAAGAAAGAGCGAGAGAGACAAAATGTTGTTATTATTCATCTACACAACGTACCTCCGACCGTGTTGGGAGTCCGACCCCCTTTATGACTCAGATGATAGCTGTCGTCTGCTTTTACATAACGTACGTAACAAACGCAATCGTCCTTTTCACTCAAATCATAAACAGGAATCCAGGCCTACCCAACTACCAGACTCGGCACCGAATGATCCCGAATTCACCGGTAGATCGGACCACACTATCCGTTTTCAAGGTGTGTGTCAGTACGCATTTCACAGTATCATACCCTGAACAAATTTTGAGTGGTGATGCAATACTTTTCAACCCCGCTGAGAATCGTCACTATCACATCGCGTACTAGGCAAGAGCGGTGTCGCGTCTGATAGGCCTACTGTGAAATGCGTACTGATACACATCTTGAAAACGGGTAGTGTGGTCCGATCTACCGGTGAATTCAGGATCAATCGGTGCCGAGTCTGGTAGTTGGGTAGGCCTGGAATCTTTCTTCAAAAATTATTAAAGACATCCTTACATTTTATAGGCTTACATATCTATGAATATCTAGCGAAAACTCCATCTGTGACTCTGGTAGAGTGTACTCTCTCTCTCTCTCTCTTCAAAAATTATTTAAGACATCATTACATTTTATACATATCTATGAATATCTAGTGAAAACTCTATCTGTGACTCTGGTGGAGTGTACTCTCTCTCTCTCTCTCTCTCTCTCTCTCTCCGGTTGTCTCTGGCCGAATTCTCAATCAGTTGATCATCGGACCAGAATCAGATAACAAACCTCTTTTATGATAATTAACTGTTATGACTGATAAATGAAACTACATATTTTTCATTCGACCGCATCTTCCGTATCTTTACGAAAAAATATATTATTATTGAAAACGCATCTGTAAAGATTAACTCTGAAAGATAACAAAAATGCCCGAGCTCTTGGCTTGTGAACCTTCTTCAGGTACCAAAACAAGAATAAACAAGCAAACTACTGGTTTAAGTGACGTATGATGCATGTAAAAGGGACACGAAGTTAGAAGTGCGTGATAAAGGTTAACGTCTTGAAGATTACGTAATAATAAAACAAGAATAATATTCGTTGAGATATTCATTGTCTCTATAAAGTCCTTTTTTAAAGTGTCTAATATTTTTATGAACTTCTTCTCGACAATCCGTCTTTGTCTTGTGTCGTGTATGTGTCCTTTTAAAATGGTGACTTTGTACTGTGGTGGTTCTTGATGCGAGTTTTAGGGGCGTAAGACAGCTTTTTTTTCTATCGTTTTCACTTTTAATTACTATTAGTTCTATTACTGTACATAGCTAGCAATTATCTGCGCTTTAAGCTTGTACTTTTTATTACAGATACAAGCAAGGCAAGCAAAAAGTCTCTGGCAGTGAATTGTGAACTGTTGTTGCTACCACTCCGACATACAGTAGGCCTAGATATTGCAAACATACATCGGCACATGAATCAATAAGATATCAGACAACTTTCATGGAAAACAAACTGAAATTAAAGCTGTATATACTTTTATCTATTATCATTTCGCATTTACGTTAAATCTCGGCACGTGCGTCTTCATCACCATCATACTTTAGTCGCAGTCCGAAGCGACAAAGTTCAAACAGTGCATATCAAAGCCGTAAATAGGAGTCCTTACGTAGGAAACCACGCGCTAGAGAACGGGTTTAATTAAGGCATTCTTGTTAGCGGTATTGTCACTATTTTAGGGAATCATGAACAAATCTGGATGACTCTATCTATAACAAGGTAATTATTACCTAAAAATAAAAAAAAATTACTTTTCAGAATAATACAAGAAAAATTAATGAAAAGAACAAAGGCAAAATAATTTTAAATTAAAAATGGAACCTGAACAACAAATACAGCTTCAAGCAAATGGAAATGAAAATAGAATATACACACCCTTGACTTACGAGTTAAGCTACAATCAATTTTTAAAACAATATCGGTACCTTGTCAGTGCATGGCAGGACTACGTGAAAACGGCATACACCCTCCTCTACACATACACTAAACACACACACGCGCACACGCACACACACACACACACACACACACACACAGAGGCTCATCGTCGAAGAGGGGGAGAGCCAAATTCAATCACTGAAGTTGTACATCGGTTCACTATTTTGTTCTAAGTAAATCATCATGAAATAAACGAATCAGAACAAAATTATAATAAAGGGCGGAATGTGCAGACCAGCATCATCTACAACTGTGGGTTTGGATACAAAACTGCTCTTCCCCGTTGCCAACGCTCTCAATTCAGTATCTTTTAAAATAAAATGTTTTATTTAAAAAAACGTATAAAACAACAGATGTAATACTGTTCATTAACCCAAATATGTTATACATGTAGCATTATCAAAATAGAACAACCATATCTTCCTGAACATGAAAAGTCACATTAGAATCCCCCCCCCCCCCTCCGTCCCACCAATACGCCCCATTTCTATTGATACCATACAAACTCAGCGTGTGTAGGAGTGTGAAAACTAAAGTAGATCAAGTTCACGGATAGGATATGCCATGTAAGGATTCATAGGGGAGATAGGTAATCTCTTTTGCTCTTTTTTTTTTAATCTGTCAATTTTGAGAAGAAATACAGTGAATCAATGTCTCTCACTGCACTAAGTCAATATAAATTCAAATATGTAAAACATCTTTCCTTTATCACGTAATTCGTCAGATGTAATAAAATACAGTATTTCCCTAGAAAACCTTTACCCCCTCTTGTGAATGCAATGTGCCGTCTGCAGAGCTCAGCGTCATTCGGTGAGCTCAGCGTCTGCCACCACGCTGGATGCTTCACGGTTCCCGGGAGCTGAACAGTTAACGCGGTCCAAAAAATTTTAGGGAGAGTCAGATGAAATAGAGAGGGACCGTGGCATCTATAAAGTTCTACATGATGAAGCTGGAGATGTGGCATAGTTTTACTCTTTTCTTTCAAAGTTTGCAATATACTCAGACTTTCAGTACCCGCATGCAACCAAAATATTTTGCTGGTATCTTGATACATCTCCCACTTGTGTCTCCCCCCTAAAACGGTCCAC